AGGTCTTGTTTTCACTGACTGGATGGATGTCCGCCACCTTTGGCTGCAAAGGATGTAGTCAATCTGATTTCGGTGTTGACCGTCTGGTGAGGTCCATGTGTAAAGCCGTCTTTTAGGTTGTTGGAAGAGAGTATTCGTTATACACAGCGAGTTTTCCTGGCAAAATTCTATCAGCCTGTGTCCCGCTTCATTTTGTTCTCCCAGACCATGCTTGCCTGTGATCGCTGTTGTCATTTGACTTCCCACCTTGGCACTCCAGTCTCCTGTAATGAAAATAATGTCTCTTTTTGGTGTATTATCCAGTAGGTCCTGCAGATCCTCATAGAACTGATCTACTTCTGCTTCTTCAGCAGCTGTGGTTGGGGCGTATATTTGGATCACTGTAATGTTGAAAGGCTTTCCTTGCACTCGAATTGAGATCATTCTGTCATTTTTTGGGTTGTATCCAAGCACCGCTTTAGCGAATTTCTTATTAATTATGAAGGCTACTCCATTTCTTCGATGTTCCTCTTGTACGCAGTAGTAGATCTGGTGGTCATCTGATGTGAAGTGGCCCATTCCAGTCCATTTCAGTTCGCTGACCCCCAGAATGTCTATCTTTAGTCTTGACATCTCACCAATAACAACATCCAATTTGCCCTGGCTCATAGATCTTACATTCCAGGTTCCTATGGTGTGTTGATCTTTAGAGCATCGGATTCGTCTTTCACCTCCAGTACCGTCGGCCGCTAGCCTTCCTTTAGGCTTTGAGCTAGCTGCTTCATCACAACTGGGGCTAGTTGAACTTATCCTCTACTCCTCCCCAGTAGCATTTTGGCCATCTTCCGACCTGGGAGTCCCATCTTCCAATGGCATACCGACATATCTCCGGTTGTACTGGTCCATTTAGTTTTCTTGGCAAGGATACTGGAGTGGTTTGCCATTGCCTTCCCCAGGGATCACGCTTGGTCTGACCTCTCTGCCACAACCGTCCCGTCTTGGGTGGCCTTTCACGGTTTCGCTCATGACATCATTGAGGTGCTCAAGCTCCAGCGCCCCGACAAGGCGGTGATCCTTTGCTGGAGGGTAGAGCTAGTGTGTAAATAGTGTGTGGCGGGTAGAGCTAGTGTGTAAATAAATGTTTTATAGGTCTTCCTTTCACCTGTTCCCCTGATAGGAGTTTATGAAATCTTTGGGCAAGTAAGACAAGGAAAGGGATTAAAGGAATAGATCAATCCATAATGGCTGGAGAATTCTAAGAGCTGTGGGTGAAAAAGTTGTTTTTCCAAGCTCAATCTGATATAAGACTGAAAGTGAAGAGAAAAGAAACTAAGAAGAAACTTTGGGGCCAAGAAGGCACACTTGGCCGCACTGTTCTGTGTCCAGATGCCTCAATGAGTTGAGAATTGCATCAGGACTCCGATGGTATATCCAGGGAGAGAGGAGCGCCTTGCTTATTAGCCTGCCAACCACGTATTCCACCTTTCTCTGGCAACACTTTTGATACGCTCATGTTTAACCCAACAACACTGATCAATATAGGCTATAAGAATGGATCCATAGCAATCAGTCCAGCCATATAGCGGGGTCGCGCAATGCAGAACGCCCTTGGCTCTTGAATTTAAACCATGGCTGAGAGCTCACACTTTTGTTTAAAGCTCATTAGGTGGTAAGGAAATTGCAGGTGGGGGTTGTGCAGAGATGCTTAATTTGTCAAATGTGTTCCTCCCAGCCTCTGCAGTTCAGCAATTTCCAGGGACACTTATTTAAAAAAAATAGTCTTCAACCAAAATAGAGTTTACACTAGAGAAAAATCAACAATGTTTGGTCAACAAAGACTGGGAAGAAGGATAAGAAGAAATCCCGGGACTATCCCTGACACCATCTTGAAATGATATGTACTGATTTATTTCTCAGGATATTGCAGGACTCTGAGATGATGCCTTCAGGGACATCTTGAGCAAACCAATGTGTAGATGTATTCAATGATGTCCAGTTCTTTACTACTTGAATGTCTCAGTAAACTTGCTTTTGAGGATTTATTGTTAGTTTAATAACTATTTTTTTCACTTCTAAAACAGTTTTAGGGGGTCATATTAACTATTTGTTGTCATTTGTCTGTGTTCAAGTGTACTTATATAAGAACAACAGCCATTACAAAATAATAATAATACAACAGCAATGTAGTAATTAAAAACAACCAATGTGTTCAAGAGACAGGTCTGGCCACTTGACAATACTTGTATATTGACCAACAAAGCCAAGTAGGAAGAAATGTTGAAGTTTTGCCATGTTACCATGACAAAAAAGGAAACCAACACCATCTCTGTGGCTAGTAAACATGGACAATCCATGGCTCTAAATGGTTCTAAGCTGGACCTTAGGGAAGGCTGAGCGAAGGAAGAGAGATGCTTTTGAGCTGTGGTGTTGGAGGAAAGTGCTGAGAGTGCCTTGGACTGCGAGAAGATCCAACCAGTCCATCCTCCAGGAAATAAAGCCCGACCGCTCACTGGAGGGAAGGAGACTAAAGACAAAGTTGAAGTACTTTGGCCACATCATGAGGAGACAGCAAAGCCTAGAGAAGACAATGATGCTGGGGAAAGTGGAAGGCGAAAGGAAGAGGGGCCGACCAAGGGCAAGATGGATGGATGGCATCCTTGAAGTGACTGGACTGACCTTGAAGGAGCTGGGGGTGGTGATGGCCGACAGGGAGCTCTGGCGTGGGCTGGTCCATGAGGTCACAAAGAGCCGGAGACAACTGAGCGAATGAACAACAAATGGTTCTAAAGTACTTACAAAACTAGAGGGCGCTGGTGCTTTGTTTCTAAAATTCTGATGGTGAAAATTTCAGACCTCTAACAAAACTTTCAAAATTTCGTTATAATTGGCAGCTCTTAATTGATTCTGTCATAAAATATGCAATACAATACGATACTTGTATATTAACAAACAAAGCCAAGTAGGAAGAAATTTTGTTTTGCCACGTTACGGTGACAGAAAAGGAAACCAACACCATCTCTGTGGCTAGTAGGCATGGGCAATCCATGGTTCTAAAGAACTTACAAAACTAGGGGGCACTGGTGCTTTGCTTCTAAAGTGTTGCTAAAGTTGTGGTGGTGAAAATTTCAGAACTCTAACAAAACTTTCAAAATTTCATTATAAATGGCAGTTCTTAATTGGTTCTGTCATAAAAATCGCCAATAACACAATAATAATGAAATTTTGAACGTTTTGTTAGAATTCTGAAATTTTCACCACCAAAACTTTAGCAACACTTTAGAAGCAAAGCACCCACATCCCCTAGTTTTGTAAGTACTTTAGAACCATTTAGAACCATGGGTTGCCCATGCCTAGTATTTAGCATTTTCTGTTGGAGGGCTCTAGTTCTATAAATCTATAAATCCCAGGATCCCACAGACTACCAACAAAGTTAGTGACAAAACTAGGGGGCACTGGCGCTTTGTTTCTAAAGTGTTTCTAAAGTTTTGATGGGGAAAATTTCAGAACGCTAACAAAACTTTCAAAATTTAATTATAAATGGCAGTTCTCTTTTATTGAAGAATTTTTCTACAACAAACATGAGGTGGGGATGTAGAATAAAACTGATAGGGCAAAAAAGAAAGTAAAAATAGGGTAAAAAATAAATGGCAGTTCTTTATTGGTTCTGCCATAAAAATCGCCAATAATGAAATAATAATGAAATTGTGAAAGTTTTAGGTTCTTGTGGGTTTTTTCGGACTATAGAGCCATGTTCTAGAGGCATTTCTCCTGACGTTTCGCCTGCATCTATGGCAAGCATCCTCAGAGGTAGTGAGGTCTGTTGGAATTAGGACAATGGGTTTATATATCTGTGGAATGGCTGGGGTGGGGCAAAGGAGCTCTTCCCTGCTGCAGCTAGGTGTGAATGTTTCAACTGATCACCTTCATTAGCATTTGAAGGCCTGCCTGAGCCTGGGAAAATCTCTTGCTGGGAGGTGTTAATCTCTGCCTGGTTGTTTCCTCTCTGTTGTTTTGCTGTTGTAATTTTAGAGTTTTTTAATACTGGTAGCCAGAGTTTGCTCATTTTCATAGTCTCTTCCTTTCTGTTGAAATTGTCCACATGCTTGCATATTTCAACAGGGTGGGACAAAGAACATGAAAATGAACAAAATCTGGCTACCAGTATTAAAAAACTCTAAAATTAAAACAGCAAAACAACAGAGAGGAAACAACCAGGCACAGATTAACACCTCCCAGCAAGAGATTTTCCCAGGCTCAGGCAGGCCTTCAAATGCTAATGAAGGTGATCAGTTGAAACATTCACACCTAACTGCAGCAGGGAAGAGCTCTTTGCCCCACCCCAGCCATTCCACAGATATATAAACCCATTGTCCTAATTCCAACAGACCTCACTACCTCTGAGGATGCTTGCCATAGATGCAGGCGAAACGTCAGGAGAAATGCCTCTAGAACATGGCTCTATAGCCCGAAAAAACCCACAAGAACCTAGTGATTCCAGCCATGAAAGCCTTCGACAATACTGTGAAAGTTTTATTAGATTTCTGAAATTTTCACCACCAGAACTTTAGAAACACTTTAGAAGCAAAGCACCAGTGCCCCCTAGTTTTGTAAGTACTTTAGAACCATATAGAACCATGGATTGCCCATGCCTAGTGGCTAGGTCTGTAAAGTTCTCAGTTTACAGAGAACTTCTTTCCTCCCCTTTCTTTCTGGCAACCCACTATTTCATTTCCAAATGGTGGCAACATTGGGTTTATTAAACCAAGTCATTAAGGATTATAACTTTGCTTTCTGCACATACCACACACATTAGAACGTCATGCCTGTTACAAACGACTTTTGCTTTGTGCGCTTGTGTGAATTTTCAAAGAACAAATTGGCATGGAAAATGTTGAAGAGAGTGGGTTTTTTAAGCCAGCAATTGAAGATTTCCCTTTTAATTGAATCTCTGTAATAAACCCAGCAATGAGAATGCAACACAAAATACCGAACAGCAATGATTAATTTTCCGCCTTGCTTACTTTTTTCCTGAAAGACCCCATTTTGATATTCTGTCCGCTGCTTTTGTGAAATGCAGGGACCTTGTAATTGCTCAGTGGGTTGCCTTTTGGGTTATCTGGAATCTGTTGAATGCTGCGGCTCCAATTGCCGGCTTTCTAAGAGTTGTGCACTTTTCCCTTTCCATGGTTTGTTTACACTGGATGTTTATTAGGTTTGTAGTGTTGACATATCGGCATTGTCAATGGATTGAGAACTGCGTCACTGTCAGGTTCCTTGAAAATCTGCCAGGGCTGAAAGAGGGCAATTTCTATTTCTGAAAAAAAAAAAAAAAGATACAAATATGCTAATGAACGTGACATATGTCAAATCCTCTACCATTTTGCAGCCTGCTTTATCTGCATAGCTTTTGAGCTCTTTGAATTACTCCAAAACTGCACGCGAGTGCCGAGGGCAGATTAGATTCCGGTATCTCGCCTGTGTGAGATCTTTCATCAGTGCAATTTCAAAACTCACAGATGCCTTGGAGATGAGTGTTTAATTTAATGATTGAAAGGATATGTGGGAATTGGCTTGGAGCAAGGGGAAGGCAAAGGGAAAGCAAAGGAAGGCGGAGGAAGCGCGGCACTGGAGGGTTCCCAACAGAAGCTGCCTCTGTTATAAGATTGCTAGGTCAGCGTCCCATAAAACTATTTATGTCTTTGATTTAGGAGATGAAAGAGCTAGTTATTGCCTGTTGCCATCAAATGAGGCAGTCTGTGGTGGATTTCAGTTACAAGGGCGATCCTCTTAACCTTATTGTTTTGCCTTAATAATAAATAATAAACTTTATTTATACCCCGCCACCATCCCCCCACGGGAGCATTGCAGCGCACCCAAATACCTGGGAGTCACCTTGGACCATGCTCCATCTTACAAGAAGCACTGCCTGAATATGAAGCAAAAAGTGGGTGCTAGAAATAATATTGTATGAAAGCTGACTGGCACAACCTGGGGATCACAACCAGACACAGTGAAGACATCTGCCCTTGTGCTATGCTACTCTGCTGCTGAGTATGCATGCCCAGAGTGGAACACATCTCACCACACTAAAACAGTGGATGTGGCTCTTAATGAGACATGGCGCATTATCACAGGGTGTCTGCGCCCTACACCACTGGAGAAATTACAATGCTTAGCTGGCATTGCACCACCTGACATCCGCCGGGAAGTAGCAGCCAATAGCGAAAGGACCAAGGCAGTGACATCTCCAGCTCATCCCCTGTTTGGGTATCAGCCAGCATGTCAACGACTTAAATCAAGACATAGTTTTCTAAGATCTACAGAGACACTCGTTGGAACACCCCAGCAAGAAAGAGTCCAAAAGTGGCAGGCTCAAACCCAGAACCTCAATCAATGGCTGAGACTGAATGAGAGACACCCCCCTGGGCACACAGAGGACTGGGCAACTTGGAAGGCGCAGAACAGACTGCGCTCTGGCACCACGAGATGCAGAGGCAACCTCATGAAATGGGGCCACAAAGTGGAATCCACGACATGCGAGTGTGGAGAAGAGCAAACCACTGACCACCTGCTGCAATGCACCCTGAGCCCAGCCACATGTACAAGGGAGGACCTCCTTGCGGCAACACCAGAGGCACTCCAAGGGGCCAGATACTGGTCAAAGGACATTTAATCAACTACCAAGCTTGCAAATTCTGTGTTTTGTCTCTTTGTCTGTTTGTTTTTGTTAAAAATGTAGTACAAATGTCTGGTTGCTGATGACACGATAAAAAAAAACCCATCCCCCCAAGGGAACTCGGGGCAGCTTACATGAGCCCAAGCACAACAAAATACATCAGTAAAGAACAACAAAACAAGCAAGCAAATAAAACACAATACACTATCATAAATGGCATAACATAAGCAATAACACACAAAAGATTTAAAACACTATGGGCAGGGCTGGATGTAGTAGATTAAAAATTTAAAATACTCGTGAACAGAAGTAGGGTATCTAAACAGGTTTTTTTTTTTTAAAGACAGCGTTTCTCAATCTGGGGGTCAGGACCCCTGGGGGGGGGTCACGAGGGGGTGTCAGAGGTGTTGCCAAAGACCATCAGAAAAGACAGTATTTTCTGTTGGTCATGGAGGTTCTGTGTGGGAAGTTTGGCCCAATTCTATCATTGGTGAGGTTCAGAATTTTTTGATTGCAGGTGAACTATAAATCCCAGCAACTACAACTCCCAAATGTCAAGGTCTATTTTCCCCAAACTCCACTAGTGTTCACATTTGGGCATATTGAGTATTCGTACCAAGTTTGTTTCAGATCTGTCATTGTTTGAGTCAATAGTGCTCTCTGGATGTACGTGAACTACAACTCCCAAACTCAAGGTCAATGCCCACCAAACCCTTCCAGTATTTTCTGTCCGTCATGGGAGTTCTGTGTGCCAAGTTTGGTTCAATTCCATCGTTGGTGGAGTTCAGAATGCTCTTTGATTGCAGGTGAACTATAAATCCCAGCAACGACAACTCTCAAATGTCAAGATCTATTTTCTCCAAAACTCCACCAGTGTTCACATTTGGGAATACTGAGTATTCGTGCCAAGTTTGGTCCAGATCCATCATTGTTCAAATCCACAGTGCTCTCCGGAGGTAGGTGAACTACAACTCCCAAACTCAAGGTCAATGCCCACCAAACCCTTCCAGTATTTTCTGCTGCTCATGGGAGTTCTGTGTGCCAAGTTTGGTTCAATTCCATCGTTGGTGGAGTTCAGAATGCTCTTTGATTGCAGGTGAACTATAAATCCCAGCAACGACAACTCTCAAATGTCAAGATCTATTTTCTCCAAAACTCCACCAGTGTTCACATTTGGGAATACTGAGTATTCGTGCCAAGTTTGGTCCAGATCCATCATTGTTCAAATCCACAGTGCTCTCCGGAGGTAGGTGAACTACAATTCCCAAATTCAAGGCCAATGCCCACCAAACCCTTCCAGTATGTTCTGTTGGTCATGGGAGTTCTGTGTGCCAAGTTTGGTTCAATTCCATCATTGTTGGAGTTCAGAATGCTCTTTGGTTGTAGGTGAACTATAAACCCCAACGACTACAACTCTCTTTCAACTCTTGGATTCTATGATTCTATGATTAAACAAAATGGTTCTCATCTTAATAATCCATGCAAAACAGCCAGCATAGTGATCTTGTCTTCTGTGCATAGTATCATACAATCCTAGAGTTGAAAGAGACCTTCTGGACCATCCAGTCCAACCCCATCTGCCAAGAAGCAGGAAAATTGCATTCAAAGCACCCCAGACAGATGGCCATCCAGCCTCTGTTTAAAAGCTTCCAAAGAAGGAGCCTCCACCACACTCCGGGGCAGAGAGTTCCACTGCTGAATGGCTCTCACAGTCAGGAAGTTCTTCCTCATGTTCAGATGGAATCTCCTTTCTTGTAGTTTGACGCCATTGTTTCGCGTCCTAGTCTCCAGGGAAGCAGAAAACAAGCTTGCTCCCTCCTCCCTGTGGCTTCCTCTCACATATTTATACATGGCCTTCATCATATCTCCTTCTCATCCTTCTCTTCTTCAGGCTAAACATGCCCAGCTCCTTAAGCCGCTCCTCATAGGGCTTGTTCTCCAGACCCTTGATCATTTTAGTCGCCCTCCTCTGGACACATTCCAGCTTGTCAATATCTCTCTTGAATTGTCGTGCCCAGAATTGGACACAATATTCCAGGTGTGGTCTAACCAAAGCGGAATAGAGCATGGGGAGCATGACTTCCCTGGATCTAGACACTAGGCTCCTCTTGATGCAGGCCAAAATCCCATTGGCTTTTTTTGCCGCCACATCACATTGTTGGCTCATATTTAACTTGTTGTCCACGAGGACTCCAAGATCTTTTTCACACGTACTGCTCTCGAGCGAGGCGTCCCTCATTTTGTATCTTTGCATGAAATTGACCCATTGAATTGAATGTTGAAAGACAACTCAACACACATTTCCTTCCCAATGTTCAAGGAGCTCCTCTGTATTAATGAGATTCTGCCTATTGCAAATGTAATCCTTTACGGTATGGGTATATCTACACAGTGTACATTTAATGGAGTTTTCCACCACTTTAACTGCCCTGGCTCAATGTTATGAAATCTTGGGAGTTGTAGTTTTGCAAGCTCCTTTGCCTCCTCTGCCAAAGAGAATTAGTCCTATGATGTAGATGTCCCCATAATCATCTACAATAACTGGAAAGTTATTGCATTCAATTTCAGAGAATTCAATAACTTTCCAGAAGCCAAGAAAGTGGTTTAACAGCTTAACAGCAACGTCTTCAGTTCTTCCTTTATCAGTATTGATTTTCCGGTAATGGATCTATTTAAGATTAATTTCTTTTGTGTGGCATCAGATTATAATTTTGTTAATGCTTTTCAATAATTCATAATGATTTGTTTGAGGAATTTGGATAAATAGCCATTGAAGATTAATAAAATGATAATCTGACACAAAGACCAAAGGGAATTCATCACAAATGCCTGAGACAAATCATTATAAGTTATTGAGAAACATTAACGGAATTATAATCTGACACAGTAGGAGAAAAAATGAATGTCTCCCAATAATCCATAATGGCATGCATTGGAATTTCAATAAATAACTCCCATCCATCGTGGATAGTTTAGTTAACTTTGTATTAAAATATATGTCGTATTTATATTTTCAGTTCCCATTAAAAAGATTATTTTTCAGTATATTAGAAGATCATTTTAAACCTCACAATATGCTTATGGCGCTATTCATTATCCTGTCAAGTCTAGGGCTTGGCTGCCGTCTAAAAACGGTGTCCTAATGGGGCAGGATTTAATGTAATTTCACATATAACTTAATGAAGCGTGTAAACTGTGTTTTCTTTATGACATACATATAGTACAGAGCGGCATCTTGCTTGCCAAGTGTGATTTTTTTCCTAATCAGCTTAAAGATCAAGACAATTTTCAAGGTTATGCAAATTTCCCATGAAAGTGCCAACGTCTAAGAGCAACATGTGAGCCGGTTACAAGTTGATGGATTCCTCCTAGCTTTGTTTTTGCAAAGTCTAATGCTCGTCTGTCTGTCTGTAATATGAAAGACCAATGAAGCCAGAAACTTCAGGAATTGCGCCCCTGATAACCAGA